TTTTTTTTTAGAAATGCAAAAGATATAACAGAAATTATCCGATAACCTAATATCACTGAAGCTCCACTACTTACTTTTTTTCTTCTAGCAATTGGGACGATTGGTCTTATACGAACGTGTATCTCGTAATTTAAATGTGGTCATAAAGTAGGAGATAGTGATAAAGATAAAGACAATGATAGTATCTGCCAGCTTGCACATACATGTGAAAAGGTTCTTCAAATAGAAGTCTAGTTTTTGCATTTATTTTGCGAGGACATTGTATCTAGAAGCACAGACTTTCTCAAAACTTTTGTTTCCTCTGAGACAGAAGCCGTCGTCTTCGCAACATCCGTGCCACCACTCTGAAAAATTCAAAGACTCAGTTTCACCTGATATAACACTACCGATGTATCAGTGATGCGTTTGATAACGTTAGTGTGATGTACCAAACATTAGTGATACACTCTTACCTTCTTCTATACTCTGACTGCGCCTCAGGAGCATATCCGCTGTGAGGCCCCACATTGGAAGTGTATGCGTTTATGCCATACTTACTTGATTGAGGCTTCGGCGCTCCTAAAAAGCTTTTTTGACCATTTCAATTTTAGCGGTGGCAATTGCCCTTCCAATATTACTGTTTGAATAACCCCCATAAAGCAGATTTCTACTAAATGCTGCTTCGACGGTGCCGTTGCTTCTAGAAAATCCCTTGCGACTGTTTGTATACGTGGTGCCCTTAGTATGCGCAAGTATACAGATAGGAGAAAAATGTAATTGTGTGTGACCTATTCGTTGAATTATAATACCTCCTTGAATGAATATCTAGAATTTCCATTAGCTAGTGTGATATCTGAGTCAAGCAATGAACGATCCACCGACCATCTTTATCGAAGCCGTTACTTTACTTAGAATAGCACAAAAAATCTGTGAGAAATGTATCGCGAAAATCTTGCCCTGCGGCACCATGTCAATCACCTTGTCGTATAGTCAAGCAAGCAAAACGACAGGAGAAAATTTTACTAACACTGAAAGCTGCAACAAAGACTGGATTTAAGACTTAGAAAGAGACTAAAAGTGGACATACCGTAACTGTAACTTGACGGAGATTCAATCCGAAAAGATGGTGGAGGCACATTTACTTGGCTGGTTGGTGTCGTGATTGATTGATAAGCCGCAGGTGGAACTGTCTGATAACCTGGCATCGGCTGATATCTATCTATCCCTGCACTTTTCGGAGGGCATGGACAATACTCTCCGTCCTGTCCGGGCTCTCCGGGCACTCCAGACTGAAATTCTACTTGGTTAAGCGCTGTTGTTCTTCGATTTGAGTAGCAGTACAAAACTCCAAAATATACATAATCAAGCGTACATAGCCGGGAGCTCCTTCTGGTCCTGGAGGGCCCATATTGCCTGGTGGGCCCATCACACCCATAGGCCCGGGAGGTCCTTGAGGAGGTCGATAACCATTGGTTCCAGGTTGACCGGGCGCTCCAGGTCTGCCAGGAAGTCCCCTCGGGCCCGGGCTTCCAATCTGCACTGTCAACGAACGACCAGCATTGCCAGGCGCACCCATCTGCCCCGGTTGACCTTGAGACAACTTAAGTACTAATGACTTGCCTCGATCATTCTTGCGTGATTATAGTGGCAATCCGCAGAATTTTCTTTTTTGAGTGTGGAGGCTGGAGGGGGAGATACGACAGAAATTTCGAAAAGAGGGTGGCTAATTCCGTTCTCTAACATTTTTTCAGAATGCTTTCAAAATTTGTCGTGGGCTCGTAACTCGGTAAAACCTGAAGG